CGTGCACATTTTTTTTGTTTCGCCCACAATGCGATAAAATTTGAAATCTAGGCATCAAGAGAACAAAAATAATTGGTGCTTTGTTTTGCGCGAAAATTAAATTGCGCTATCGGTCATTTCTCCTACATTAAAAAAAATAAAATTATTTCACAGTATACCACTGGAAGCTGGCAGGCTAGAAGTTGTCGACATGTTGCGAGAAAAGGGTGCCGAGTGCCCACGAACCTGCATCTATACCTTAAAGTGCCTGTGAAATGCCTGCTAGTTTCTCGCCTAAAATCATTTACTGGTAAATCAATATATTAATTTTCATGTTTCTATGCATAGCATTATTTTTAAAAAGAAAATGGGTTTCAAACTCTATTTCAAACTTTATTTTTGTGCACTTTAAAACGAGGCTCCATATGCATTATCTTCTCGTGTGCATACAGAAATACCCCTATAACGTCACGGTGAGAAGGGGAACTTGCTGGGCAGCTTGCAATGCCGATACGTGTATATATTAGGCACATTCATACAATTTTCTCGTCTTTAACTAAATTGCCATTCATGTAACTGTTCGTAGAGAAAGAACGAACCATAATGAACACATATTATCAAGTTTATCGTATAGGGTTTAGTTAGATACAAAATATGTCCCTTCAATGTCATTGATTCAACTGATTTGCATACAAGATTTTCTCTACTATTTGCGAGTACTAGAATTCGTTGTCGTGATACACGGTGTTGTGCATAACAATCACTTCGATATATAAACATCACGTTCACATTTATTGTAAATTCTGAAATGTAAACAAATATTACAAATCATTTAGAAAATAAATATAACAAATCATTTAGAAAATAAATATTACAAATCATTTAGAAAATAAATATTACAGTTGCATTGTTATAAGAGGGTTCAGTTGACGGCGTCACGGCATTTATCTGATTATACCGGATTTATAAGTCTAACGGCGTTGGTCAAAAAATATGCGATGCATGGTCACCGTGAAACACGTTAACTGGCTCGAAATCATCATCACACCGGCTACTGACACGAGCGAACAGTTACTTATTGTGATACGAATTTAATCATTGTCTCTCAATACGGTAATGTTAACTCAGAAGGTTTAATGACGTCCCGTATTCCCTTCACTCGTACGGAACCATTTACTGCTCACGATTACTACATCGGATTGTCGGAAGGTGGGGTATAATTCCCCATTATCGGTTCATTTTAATAGAATACAGCGTCTTCGCCGTATCGTTCTATACATAAATCAGCTATATGAAGAAGTTTGTCGACTTGGTGATCTATCTCTGCCATACTGTCATGTTGAAATCCGACATTAACACCGAAGTGGTCACGTGACAATACCAGTGGGTCAGCTTTCAGCAACAATAGGAGCTAGAAAAGATTAATACATTGTGTTTACATGATAAACTTGTAATTTAAAATATATGTTATTTCTCATGTAAATTGGAAATTGAAATATAGCATTTGGGATACGATATAGATTAGCGGTATATAATCCCAAACATAAGCACATTCAAGGTAGGGCTCCGAATTGACAGTAGCCCACAACTATCCAACATGTCTATGCAGTGTAAATTCGTACGGCTTTTTATTTATTTATTAAATCGTTATTTATTTTTAAATAACATTAATTTTATTATTTTTATCGTTTTACGTGTTTTTTGACGCCCTACCTACATCTGGCTCAATGCAAATCTCATCAAACGAGACCACCATCCATGGGTTTTTGCCGACCAACCACGGAGCATTTTACAAGAGTGTTTAACACATTTATTCATCATGGCTGCTGTTAGCGTATGCACCAATCATAGAGTGCGAACCTTACAATTGTGAGGTAAGTTTTCAGTTACCTTGATGTTGAAGTAATAATCTTCATTATTTCAAAAATAAGTACTATCAGAAAAGTTTGACAAAAGTCGGACGTTTTTTTTCAGGAAAACTCTGTAAGATTTATATATATAATAAAAATAAAATAAAATAAAAATAGCCCGTACACCACATATGATTACAATTATATTGTGTAACACACTCACCACGCTGCTTATTGTACAGTTACTCTGCTTTGTCAGTTGCAATAGATCAATAACGTGACGAGGAAATCTACAATAGTTGAAGTACTTGGATTGGTCGTCTAAAGATTCTCTAAATGCAAGATCGTTATCGATTGATACAAGATGATCTATAAGATATTGATTGGAATTAATAACTACAGAATAATCATACAAACAAACAAACAAACAAACAAAAAAATTGAATAAAATTAAGTCTTCGAGATTTGTGTTGATAAAGAGTGATTTTGCGACAACCCAATGCCTTTCCCCAGTGACAAGCATAAATATCAGCTGTGAACTGTCCGCAATGTGCACTAAATACTATCTTCGATTCTTTGCTTTGATGGGGTTTGCCAGAAATGACTTTGTTAAACCTTGGTAGTGGCTATTTTTATAAGCGTTGATCTGCGCAAAAATTAAAGTCGTAATCTTTGCTAATATGGGACCAATATCTCGCATGTGCGGCGACCATTGCATTTGAAATTCACGCATGCGTATTGTGATAATTTTCCATATTTATTTATCAGACTAGCTATACCAAAACATCGCCTTTATGTAAGCACACGACTCAACACAATACGTCACACACTCTGAGCACACTTGTGACATGCTTGATTACATTCTCACGCTTACCTTGAATTTTTTTGACGTCTTTTTTGTATAAAGGTGTCCCTGTTAAATAGAGCAAGGTACGTAGTTCCAGCTCTTGTAATTGGTGTGTGTCTAGTGTAGGCAGTTGAGTTTGTACGGCACTCTCTAATTTAAAAAGCTTGTAAGGAGCGGAACTCACAAAACGAGACGTGACCCATGCAGTCGCTACGCCCTATAATGATCGTCAACAAAAATATAATTATTATAATAACGATGAGAAAACTTTCTACCTAACTAAGACCTACACAATCGGAAGTGTTTGGCAATTGTTTGGATATTTCAATATAGAATGTAACATAGCTTTAATAATATAGCGGATAATATTGTTCACCTTGAGTGTAGTGTCGGCAATGGTCGTTGTTTGGCTGCACAATTTGCAAAAAGCGATTAAACGATGTTGATAATATCTTATCAAGCTGTGTCAGTATTACCCCATGTGAGGGCGCTGCGTAATACGTCCCAAGTAATCGGTCAAATAAATAGAAAGCCAGTTGTGAGATGTGACGTTCACCATACTGACGGGCCGGTGAAACCTGAAATATCAAAATACTATATATGAGCTAGTTATGATACCTCCCACGTACATAGACCGTGATTTCATACGTTATACACCAGGCTGCGAGAATGCAAAAAATCGTACACCGCCCTTAAATGCAAGTCCCGTGACGTACATCTGTAATGGTATTAATAACTATAACGAATATCGAAACATTGAACAAAAGAATTTACTTGTGACATTCAAATACGTACAATAAAAAATGATTCTGACATTCTTAACATAAATTATACATACCTTAAACCACACTAAATTAGACGTGCTGTTGTACTGTACTGTCATCTGTATCGCCGCCGAACCTGCATGTTTACTCTTCTTGTATGTATGTCTCGGTGAACTGCTGTATTTACCATTGCCTAGCATTGCGTCCCACATCCAGTCACTCATTCCATCCCAGCCACACACCTACCGTTACAATGTATTTAAATGTAGATATCTTAAATTTATTTGCAATTAATAGCCTTATTTTTTTTTATCAAAGATGTGTAAATAATGTTAAATA